GGAAATGAAGCAAAGACAACAAGACACTACAAATATAATAAGTGTTTATTGTGATCATGTACTTGGCATCTATGTCGACCAACGTCTACTTGCCTATTATTTTAGTATTTTTCAAGTGTATTATTTCGTATGTTTCTGAAGTGATTTATTTGTATCCCATGGAGAAAATCACCCACCTGTCGTGAAAGGGTACTGTGAGTTCCGTTCCAAGAAGAAACGGGTGCACCATAACCACGATGTGAGACAGCCTGCAGATGCCGCATTGTCTCCAGCGGAGCCGGCGCAGAGGGGGGCGCGGGGCTGGGCGCTGCGGTACCCGTACCGCCGTTAAGACTTACTGGCGCTGATGTGCCAGATGTCGCACTGGTAACCTGACCAGTACCACTGCGGTCACTCAGAGGAGACATGCTACTGACACTTGTGTTAGGGCTCTGCTCATTTTCTGTACGTCGTTCTTCTTTTTCTTTAACCCTGAATATGAAAATTTGTTATCATTATAACATAAAACGCCGCAAGTCGATAAGCAAATAAAATCATTACTTGTAAAAAAAAGTTTCTTACGTACTTTTTGTTGGTAACGCCATTGAGGCTAGGACTGAGTAACGGGCCACTATTCTCGCTGTGGACAGTCCAGGCATGATGCATGCTCTTGGTGGTGACAACAAGCGCGCGCGGGGACTCACACCGGCTCGGTTTAGGTCGGCGGCCGTCGTCCCTTCTTGCACCATCTTCATTCAATCTATCATTTCGTTCATCACCACTTGATTCAGAATCATATGGCACCAATCTTGATCCCATGCAGCCATTTCTCGGTGAGACACCTGATGAGTCACTTCTGTTCATTTGCTCCTCAAGTTTTTCTAATGGTGACTTAGGTGTCTTCACCAACTTGCTAGTTGATGCAGATTTCTCAATTGCTTTTGAGTTTATAATTGACCTGAGATCAGATTCACTTTTAGATATCTTGGGTTTAACTACGTTGTCGTCGCCATTCTGTCGTTTAATTGTAAAACTAATTTTCTTATCATCTTCCTCAAGTTTATTACCATTCTTTTCTGTACCATTTAAAATTTTCGTTGGCTGAACCAGTTTTTCAACCTCACCATTTTGTTTTACCACCCATGGTTCAGGATTAACGTTATTAGATTCAGTTGACTTGCCAAGTGTGCTATTTAGGATAATTGGTTTGATATCAGGTTTAGCAACTTCCACTGAAGTGCTATTAAGAAGAACTGGCTTCCTCTCATCATTTCTATAAAATGTTAATTTTAATGGACTTTTTTCTCTATTTAATATGTTGTCTGGCAGCTGTGGACCATATACAACACTTGAAGAAGATGCTGCTGAAGAAGAGGCTTCATCAGTTGTATTATCTTTTTCAAAAAACATAATATAGGCATTAGTGCCTAACACAGCCGACAGGGGTAAAGGACGAACACAACTGTCATCAAACTGGTAATAATTCCCATTTGGAGCTTGTCCTATTGCAGTATAATGACCACAGTTCTGTGAAGGGCCAAGATGAGTGACTAAACTTACTAGTTTGTATGACTGAAAAAAAAAGAATATGTGTTAATCACAAATAATAAAATTGATACTTGTATTCATTAATGCATTTGAACAGGAATAGTTACTTATACTTACCAACTGTTGTTGACTTTTGTTGTACATATATTTGCTAAGAGTGATCTTCTTCCTAAATTGCACATGTTTCGAAAGTTTCCCTCCAGCCAATGAGAATCGTTTTAATGCTATACAAAGGACCATAGGAGCTCGTTCAACAAAAAATTGTTTAGTGGCAGAAACCTGAAAAAATTAAAGCATGTTATATTAAAATACTTATTATAAAGATATTATGTTGTTCATTCACACAATATATTGTTACTTACTTTCTTATTGCATGCCTCACATTTGTAACCTAAATCTTCTAACCTTTCTCGAGAAAAAAAGGAGTCTAAAGCTTCATCTAATGTAGAGTGTTTTCTTATATCTAATAATAAATCCTGAAAAAATAAGCATTTTATTTTATACAAACAAACAATATGAGAATTAATTCAGCCTTTATTAATAATTAATATTAATTATTAATTAAAAGTTTTTACCTGAAAATGCTGGTATGTAGTGGATAGGTGGTGGCAAGCCAGACATCGAACTGTTGAGCGTAAGTATCCACCAAGAATCTGGTTTAATGGAGTGGTCTCTTTACTGTACTGATCCAGCTTATCATGGTTGACAAACCGATTTAAATAACATTTCTCCATGGCCTCAACCAAGTATCTAAAATAAATTAATAAACAATGTATGACAAAACTTTAAAATAAGTGAAAGAGTTAAAAATTAAGTTACAAGATATGCTCCATCATATATATTACCTTAAAAATTCATGAGCATCCTCTTGTCTGCCTGGTGTCAGGTGTCTGCATATAAGCCGTAGCTTAGAGTAAACCTGCCATGGTTTGATTGGAGCTCCACAACTTTTCTGAGTAGCCATTAAAGTGGCACGCATCCCACATATCACACAGGCTTCTGTAATTCATAAATGTAATATATCAATGTTTATTGACCTAGATTTATATTAAATAATATCACAATAAATGGATTTAATTGGACTGCATGGTTGGCACAGTGGCTGGACAACTGACTACCATGTAACATGTTGCAAGTTCAATTCCCACACTGAACAACTCTTTGATCCACAAATCATTGTTCCAGGTCTGGATGTGATGTGTACGTTTGTAAACACACCTACTACACAAGAGAAATAACTAGCATGGGGTTTTAAAAAATATAAAATAACCAAAAGAAAAAATTCTAAACTCACCTTGTTGATTACATTTCTCCGCATGTGTCACTTCCATGACCAGCCAGTTAGCGAAAGCAGGCACATGGAATAGAGCCTGCAGAGTAGAATTCAAGTAGCATGTGTTACCCACATTCTGCATGCCAGCACCAGCGGCCCAAGCACTTTGCCATCCCAAGTGAACTTTTTCCACAGGAAATAAAACCCTTTTTGGTTTAGGCAAACCATCTTCCAAGGGTTTGTTACCTTCTGAAAATGTTTTTAAATCATTTTAGAACAACTTCATTCTATATAAAGCTGATTATAATTATTTACCATCATTTAACTTGTTTTGTGTGTAAAAATTGCCTAGTACCAATTATTTCAATATAATTGTACTGGTAATGTAAAACTTTTCAGAATTTGCACATAATTATAAAATAATAATTTGTTACATAATAGACTGAACAGTTATAAAGCTTATAACAAATTCAGACTGAGGACAGGTGGGTGAACATTTTGTGATCTTTAGAAGCAGTACATACCAGGATAAATTATTGCAACAATTTCAATAATTTACTAAAACCTTCTCTAAAAGATGGAGTAAACTTTAATAATATTACATGAATTTATTTTACGTAAGTACATTCACAAAATATTATAAGAAATAACATTGTAACTATTCGATAAACAGGTTGAATATTTTGTGGTTATAAACAATAAACGTAGGGAGGGTTTATAAGGAAATTCTACTTAGAAACCACTTATTTACTCCTTTATGAATCCACAAGTAAACTATTGACAAACAATTTGTTAGGACTATTAAGATTCTTTTGATGATTCCATGACGTTTATTGACAAGTGACCATAAGATATAACCTCTAAATTGATCTTATCGCGCATGTAGATAACAAATAAATCTACAATATTTTTATATCTATAATCATATAATTAATTACCTGAGGCCTGGCCGGTAGAATTGCAGTCTTTTTTAAGCAGTTTACTATCATGCACTGGTTTTTTAGGTCGGATCACCACGTACTTAGATTTCAGTCCTTCGAGAACATTGCTTTGATAATCACCAGACTCTTCAAACTCAATCTTGGACAAAAGAACGCTTTTAGCGGATGAGTAAAGTCTACTATCCAACAATGAGGAACTTTGTGATTCATCTGGGGTAAGAGATAAACGCAATGCGCTTGTTACTGGGTCGCAAATGGAAGCGGGCATTTTACCTCCAAAATTGCACTATCACGTTATCAAAACACAAAGCACTTCATAATTTAATTTAGGTATTTATGCGAGGCACAAATATTTATTTAACAAACCGCCTTACAACAACCCCGTAAACATGTGTATTTTTAAATATAATAGTCTGTAAAAGGAAAACGAAACGAATCAAACTCGCTCGACTGATCCACGCACGACAACCCCGCAATGTTGCCAAACTTCAAAGGTTAGTCAAGTCAAGGAAGTGAAATTTGGCCGCTGAATTTACACCATTCCATTGTCTCATGATTAATTATATTATTGTTTGTTGTAGTTACCATGAAAAGTTATCAAAGTAGTCAGTTACAAAATAAATCTTTTTATGTTTTTCCTTTCGAAGGTATGTAAATTACAAGTTATTTTAAAGGCAGAAGCATAGAGTCGTAGTCGTAGCGGTGAGTGTGCATAGGTACTACAGTGTCACATCAACAGATGTAATGCCAAAAAAGAATCAATTTAATCCCTAATTATGGCAAAACAAATTACACCTACAATAAACTTCTAAATACCTTACAATACAATTAACCTCTCAATATTTGTATTATTAATTTTAATACCTTATGAAATATCAAAGCTATAAATTTATTTACTGAAATGATAATAAATGTTTATGAAATTATCAGAAGTCTTTCGTGCTTCATTAAATCCATTCTAAATCTAAGATCTGAAAGAGGTATAGGAGATATACCACAGATAAAAAAATATAAAATGCCTAAAATCGGGTTGTTTGCTTCATGCTTGAAATGTATTGCCATACCTTTACTTATCGTCTCGCAGCAGATCAGCAGAAGCCTACCCATTTCAATTTAATTCATTTACTAGGTACCTATTGTTACCAATAGTTAGATAAAAGCCGGTTCTTTACCGGGTCCCGCACTGCCCCGCACTCCAGCCAGAACGCTCTGATTTCTTAGATTTATTTGACTTTCATAATTTCACGGCAACCCTACGTAACTGTCAAATAGACTATCTTCTGTCTCTTTCCCTCCAAGATCTTTCATTTTCATCCATTCTGTCACAAGTTGTCCTTTTATCGATTTGGAATTTCAAATAAAAATTAGGCGTTTTTTTACTATGAAGTGATAGTAAATAATTTTGTATTAAATGTGAAAATTAAAAGTGAAAATGAATTTTTTAAGTGCACACTGTTTTACGATTTTAGCAGGTCTAAATGTTTACGTTAATGTGTTAAATACTGTAGCTTCTCAAAAATAAATATTAATCAGCATTTAAATTTTCATTAAACTGAAGCTATTCATGTAAATGTTAAATACGATGATGATGCTTGCATACTGATTTATTCGAACTCGATACAATAGTTTTAATTGGAACAATTTATACTGAAAAGTACATGTATGTTTATTTTAGTTCTCAGCGTGGTTACATCGTCGAGAGTGCTAGAACTAAGCGACAAATTTATTGATATTAGCAATGAGGGTATGTGGTTTGTGAAGTTCTACGCGCCATGGTGCGCCCACTGTCGCAGGATAGAGCCTATATGGGCACATGTCGCTCAATCGCTGTACAACAGTCCTATTAAAGTAGCAAAAGTTGATTGCACTAGGTTTATGGCTGTTGCAACACATTTCAAAGTCAGAGCATACCCAACCATCATGTTGTAAGTAAACATCCTTATATTTACATTTGTTGGAAAGATCTATTTATCAATGTCACAATATCTCTTCATTGTACAGCATTAAAGGTCCCTATCGCCATGAGTATATTGGTGAGCGTGTTAAAGAAGATATGGTTAATTATGCTCTACGGATGTCTCAACCTGCTGTCCAGAGGTTGTCACAAGTTGACAGTCTTGGATATTTGAAAGAGACTCATCCGGTCTTCTTTGGATATGTAGGCAAACAACAAGGACCATTATGGGTAATTTCATAGCTATCAATTTACACTTATTGCAATAAAACTGTTTCAAATGTCTAGTAATAATTCTAGAATACAACTTAATTTTTCATTTTCAATCTGGTGTGTCAATAAGTTATTTAATAGAATCAAAATTATTATGTAAGTATCTATAATTTGAGATTTGTCCTTTACTTAAAGTTCCTTACAGAACACAAATTATAAATGGACATCAAAGCATAGTTACTAAATAGTTGGCAGAGTTAATTAAAATTTTATCCTTATTTACAGGAAATATTCACAATACATGCTGAAAAGTATCAACCACATACATGGTTCTATGCAATGTCGCATGAACTCTTGAAAAATGATGTTAAAATACCAAATGAAACAGCCATATTTGTTTATAAAGATGAGGAGGCGTATTTCTTTGATGGTATTTATTGATATATTTCTTTTTTATATTAAGTGATATAGGGAAGTAGTAACTAAAGCAATAAGTACATCTATTTTACATGGTATATGTGCATGCCGCATTGGGTATTTAAAGGTGTAGCATATAATATGTCATTTTACCATGTAGCATGGTACCATTGACCATCTCTAAGGCATGGAAATGATGATAATATTAGATTATTATTTTAAATTAATACCAGCTTCTACCCTTGGCTTGGGAAGCCACTGGCAGAGATGTATAGTGCACATATTACCATATTATAAACAGACATTTCCGGTCAGACTAGCTGTCTTTTGTATTTAAATTTATTTGTTGTATATTAAAGTTTAAGTGTGACATTAATTTATAGACTGATATTGCATATTATGTGTTTTAAATGCTTTATATTTCAGTATGTGCATTATTACTTATGTCATTTGCCACTCTCATCTCTCCATCACCTGAAGGTCAATTGCTAGACAAGTTTTAATAAAAAATAAAGTATTATTTTTGTTTCCATCAAAATAGTCATATTCATTAGTATTTATTATGTGAAATACTAACCATAATCCACCTATCCCTTATTTCCGAAATTTCAAATATATTATATTAGTAGAATATAAGTAGGACTTTATAACAAATAAATAATAAAAAACATTAATATACAGCAAATCCATCATTAATTGAAGATAAAGAAGCCTTAAATGTAACATTGGATAAATGGATTAACTCTGAGAGGTTTGGCCTCTTTCCAAAGGTTACTAGATCAAATATAAATGAACTAATGGATATAGAAAAATATATAGTTATTGCAATTGTCTCTGAAAATAAGTTAAATGAAATAACTCAAACAGAGAGAGACTTTAAAGATATGGTTGAGAGCATTATCAAGTAAGTGTTTTTATTCCTTCATTCTTTCTTAAATATGGCTCTAGTTGTGAATTTTTTGTAGATTTTATCCTGAAAATTTTCTTTGTGATTATTCAGGAAAAGGAAACGAGACCTTCATCATAGATTCCAGTTTGGTTGGATGGGAAATCCAGAGCTAGCCAACTCAATAGCTATGTCTGAACTGACAATACCTCACCTCATAGTTCTCAACTCGACCACAGGCCATCACCATATTCCTGAAGATGATCCTGTTCTCATGACACCTGAAGCTGTTTCAATGTTCCTGGATCAAATTCATAATCAAGTAGCACCGGTAATATCAATATTTAAAATTACTTTATTTATTTATTTAGAAATGAAGTACAAAAGTTATATAAAATAATTTTTTCTTACTACACAGACATATGGAGGGAACAGCTGGCCTGTGCGTTTCTATAGAGGCTTTTTTGAAGCTAGAACCACATTGACAAACATGTGGCGAGGAAACCCAGTATTAACGGCACTAGTATTTGGTTTACCCTTAGGATTTTTATCACTTATTTGTTACTCTGTATGCTGTGCTGACATACTTGATGCAGAGGAGGAAGATACTCCAGGTATTATTCTATTTTTATTACATACATATTATGTTTTTCATTTTATAAAAACTATTAAAGCCAGACACAGGATTTCGAGATTGTTGTTGTTTAGTAAACTAAACCATACTAATAAGTTTTCACACTTATTAGTATGGTTATTTGAGAAAAACAAGTATTTTTTATATTCTTATGGTCTCATAGTGACCATATAATTAATAAAAATCTTAGTGATTTTAATGTTGTTCATTATTTTTACAGAAACTCATGAGAAGAAGGATTAATGAAGGATAATTTAATAATTGAGAAATGGTTTTTTTAGAACTTTTACAATAATTGTGTAAAGAAGAAAGGATTTTTTTTATTGATTATCTACTCAGTTTTGCTTTGGTAGCAGTGATTATCATCGTGTGGGAGGTTGGGTGAGTTATGAGGGTGCTATGCACATCAAAATATTTAACAGCCTGGGTGGGGCGCACCGTAACAAATATGTAAATACAATGTCATAAGAAGTAATATTTATTAGTTTAACTAAAAGAAATCGAAAGTTTTATATCTCTTGTATAAACTCCCGAGTCGTGACTACGTTTATTAGATACGAAGTCACAAAGACATTACACCCAGACCCGGAACCACAAATCGTGAATCTCCCGAACTCCGAACTCGCAACTCGCGTGTATTTGAATACTAGTCTCTTCCATAATTTGTATAAACAAGAAGTAAGCAATGTCATATTTAATAATTTAAAATTAATTTTATATCAGTAAGATCATGCAATATAAACGGAACCACCGATTACAGCTTCGTCTGATATCATCCAGTACATCCAACAAACTGGATATAAAAAAAAATGCCGCTCATCTATATCTATATCAGTACCTATAAAAAAATATACCTAAACACGCCTTTTTGCGTAAATTGTTGTTATATATCCTAACTTACTAGAAATTGTTAACGATTGGGTAACATAACGTTTCATGTCTGTTTTGATTTTTTTCTTTAAAATTAATAGAAATAGGTAAATTCTAAAAATTATGCTTACATTGCTTATCTTTTAAAATGCTCAGATTTTCTTATAAATGTGGTTCCTCAATTCCTGTTTTAGAATCCCTTAGTCAGGTTTGCCATAAACTCTTAACTAATGTTATATTGTAATGTAAAATAGAAGTTAAATCTGTGTACCAAAGATTTAATTAGGTACCTACACAAAAAAATTGCAGCAATAAATTCTTAGAATAAATCTATGAACGTGCCAAGTGCACACCAAGAGCTTCAAAAATATAACTTAAAAAAAATAGATACAATATTAATTTATAATTCTGTATTCCTAATTTATCAAATAAATACCATAGTATAAAATAAGAAGTCTCTAATTATTATAAGTACTTACCTGTATTGTGTACATGTATTTGTTTACTACAGACAATTGATACCTCAGTTTAAATGAATATGGAATAAAATGATTGAAAACTTAAAACAGCTTTTATTTACAATTTTACATTTTTGACATTTCTTGGATATACAAAGACATTTGAACTTGTTCTATATGACTTTTCAGTTGTTTGTACCAAATTGTATACTTTGTGTGAATATTACTATTGTATGTTTTTACTGAATCATTAACATCATCATCATCATTATCAACTTCGAAACTACCTTCATTAGTATTGGTAGCATATTCCATTCTTTGGTTTATAATTGATTTCTTAAGATTAGCTTTTCTATTAATGCTGGTTGGAGCTTTTTTAAAACTATTTAAATCTCCTACAAATGTCACCTTATTAGATGATTGTCTTTGTCTACATTCAGCTTTGCACCATCTTTTCTTTGACTTGTTTTTATTGCAGTATGTTTTTGGGATTTTTTCAAGCTCCTCATCAAGCTCGACAGATTGAGATATAACTTTGTTGTCTTTTGAGGACCCAAAAGATGTAGGAAGTCCTGCATCTAACAAAGCTTTACTTACTTCAGATTCAGCTAATTCTAAATCACTTTGTCCATTGATGTTACTTCCTTGTGGATATCCTACTTTTTCTAACCCACAGCTATTTTTGGCAGATTCCAAAATATCATCAGATTTTGTGTCAATAATAGCATCCGGTTCTGACTGAATAAATTTTGGTGAGTTAGTGAGTTTTATTAATTCTTTTATATTCTTTAAATTTCCTTTAATTTCAGTATCAATATTTTGTTTTAAAAGTGTATCGTTTGAAAAAGGTAGAACTGTTTTACTATCATATTTAAAAGCATTGATTTCATTGCATGGAATATCAAAATTTTTTTTATGAGTTACAAAAGAGGTTAACAAATCATTAAAAGATTCTAATTCATTTTCTTTTGTTTGCTGAAATGAGCTGCATAATGTTTCAAAGCTTTCTGCTTCTTCAACATGATTAGAAACCCCATTTGTTAGTCTATTTAATAGTTCCTGATAGGCTTCATTTTTTTCTATCCCATCATAATTTAATGCATTTGGAGATGGGTCACCATCATCAAAGTTTGTTATTGGTTCTTGATCCCAAAAACTACTCAATTCAAATAAACCATTGATGGACTTCAGCAGTCTTTTAAATTTCATTTCCTCTTCTCCTTTGCTAAGTATAGTGACAGCAATACCATAAGATCCAAATCTCCCAGCTCTACCTATTCTATGTAAGTATGTTTGCCAGTCATAAGGAGGTTCAAAATTTATAACTAGATCAATATTTGAAGCATCTATACCTCTTGCAGCTAAGTCTGTTGCTATCAGTATCCTGCATTTATAATCTTGCAACATTTTCAAGGCATCTAGCCGGTCATTTTGCTCCTGTTGACCATGTAACTTTTCAGCAGGCCATTTTTCACGTAGAAGCATCCTGTACAAATCTCTGACTCGAACTTGATAGTTACAGAAAATTAAACATTGTTTAAATTTCCTTTTTGATAATATCTTGAGTAGTTCTTCAAACCTATATTGTGTTTGCCTTACAATATTTGAATTACAATTTACAATGGTTACATATTGTTTGATTCCTAGAAGTACAGTAGAACTGTCTGGACATATATGTTGAGCATTTTGCACATATTTATTCATCACAGCTTTTAATACTTCAGGATATGTGGCACTGCTCATAATTACCTGTTTTTCTTTAGGCAATGTTGTAAAAATATAGTTTATATCTGCCTGAAAACTTTTCTCCATTAATTTATCTGCTTCATCAAGAACCAATAATCTAACTGCTGTTACATCAATTACTTTTGATTGAATTAAATGCCTTAGTCGCCCAGGACTACCAACAACAATGTGCACTTTCTTTTTTAATTTCATTATATCTTCTTGAAATGGTATTCCACCTATTACAACTTCCACATTTAAGTCTGTAACAATAATTTTTTATTAGCTTAACACATATGACACATCTCTAATGTATTTTATGATTTATACACAATTATAATTAATTTCACCATTATTATAATAAAAACATACATTTAGCTAAGAACTCTGAAATTTGAGATGTCTGTTGAAAGTTCTATTTAGATTACCAATTTCTTTTTACTATGTCTTAATAATTTTACTATTGCTATGAGCGATACTCATTAACTGCTATTAAAACAACAGAAATAATGCTCTTGCATTACAACCACTTACTTTGATAATTGGAACCTATTTGAGTGATCACATCACATATTTGTGCTGCAATTTCTCGTGTGGGTGCCATAATAACAGTTTGTAAGCCTTTTTCCAAATCTATTTTCTCTAAAGCGATTACTGTAAATACCGCCGTCTTACCAGTGCCGGACTTGGCTTCAAGGAGTAGATCTGAAAATAATTTAACATTGTAGTGGTTGTTGTTAAAATTTCCCAAAATATTTAACTTCAAAGGAGGTTAACAGAGCTTTCTTAATGTAAACAAAAACAAATAGCAGTTAAAATTGAAGAAACTTCAAATAAAGCCGTTCAAGTAGTCATTTAAAGGTTTGCTAAAGATAAAATCAATCATCAGCAGATGATAGGAGATCATAAGAAAAAAAAGATAAGGTTTCTTACCAAATCCGCATTTGCCTAGAGGTATACCATGCAATTGAATTGGAGAAGGCTTATAGAAACCGCAATTACGTAGTCCTTCTAAAGTACTTGGTCTTAGCAGCATCGTGTCAAAAGTAATATCTTCAGATATTTGAACATCTTGGGTTCGTAACCCTTCATTTAAATTATGGGCTAGAACCATAGTTACTGTATTTTTTACAATGACTTAAAGGTAAGCCGGGAAAAATAAACACTTGTAGGTTGTACTTCTTGTCACTTGTCAATGAATTTGCTTGCCTTGTCAATCCTCAACAATGTCATTCTTACTTGACATAAGCTTAAAAAATGAAAGAACGAAGAGAAGAATCTAAGCTAAATGATCTAGTTCTGTGAACTGAAAATGTATATATTTTTATAGGATAGATCAGCAAACGACTGTTCACTGTACGGAGTATCTGATGGTAAGCAATCGACAGTAAGAGCCGCTTTTCCCTAAAAGACCGGCTAAGCGGCTGGCATAATATAAAATAGGGTTTCGGATATTTAAATGAAAAACTCTTCTGAGATGAAAAAGAGAGGGAGGGAGAGAGTGGACCGCCGGCAACCTCACACTCCAGTTTTCTGTGAGGCTGTGGTATCATCCGGTTGAGCTGACCCATTCGTGCTGAAGCTCGGTTCTAACATAGTTAAATAATAAAATAACAACGAGATTTTTCCTAAATTATTATTAAAAAAACAAAATACCCGACTGCACACTAAAAAAAGAGTAAAACAAGCCCCACAATACAAATTTACTGAATATAATTTATAAATGTTGATGGAAAGCATCGCAGGCGGGGACCAACAGAGGCTTATTTATAGTCATTTCTGTTGTGCACCATTTAGCAGAATTTTCGTTGGTGGCGGTCAAGGTGGTCCCCGCCTGCGATGCTTTCCATCAACATTTATAAATTATATTCAGTAAATTTGTATTGTGGGGCTTGTTTTACTCTTTTTTTAGTGTGCAGTCGGGTATTTTGTTTTTTTAATAATAATTTTTTTATTTATAACTTTTTAGCCTATTTTTATTTAACGTTACTCCCGTGATTGAAATGAATCTAATGATACCGCATACATATTTTTTTCAAGGGAAATTTAGAAAAAATATTATTATGTCTTTATCCCGTGGGACTTTTAGGATAAAATGTATCCTATGACACTCCCGTAATCAAGACAAATCTAACGATACCTCATACATCAAAATCCATCAAGCCGTTTAGGCTACAGGAGGTCACAAAGGAAAAGACATACATACATACTTACATACACTCGAAAAACATTACCCTCCTTCTTTGGCAGTCGGGTAAATATAAAATAAATCATTCAGATTTTTTTATATGAACATCGTTCTTTATTTATTTCTTGCACAATTTCTCTATGGTTTATTCATGTTTCGAGCTGTCAAAATTTTAAATAGTCTATGCTCTTCTTATAGATTTAATTACGATTTCTGAACGGATTTTTGTGAAATGGCGAATTTGTGATTCTTGTGGATCAATTTATTTTATTTGATTGATAATTTTATATGGAAAATATGCAGTATTGTGAACTATTTAACTCTGTGTATCGTATTTAAAAACGTTACTTATCCTTTATTGACATTTTTCATAATATGATAATCGAAAGCAGTTGATTGCATTTTTGTCAAGTGTTGGGTTTCCTCGAGAAACAAAATCTACAGTGAGCATCGTTTAACTTGTGTTTCTCAGTATGGCTTCTCTATAATTGAAATATATATTACTTGTAGCTTCTTTTATGTTTTAGATATGGTCTTGTTCTATCTAATACTTATGTAGGTCATTAAAATAATACACAAATACAGTATAATTACCCAATGTGAGGAGGGTCTTATATTTACTATTTTGATTTATATCTACAATGAT